TTTCTGCAGCTGTCTTCTCTTATTCCCTCTTTCTTCTCTGTCTCGCTATCCTCCCTCAGAGCAATCGCCCCAAAGCTGCAATCCCTTAAATTCCTGCATACATCGGGATAGGGTTACATATAAAAACATTATATTAGTCTTATTCGCTACTATTACATACAACAGTTTATGACTCAACACACTACAAGCATTTGACAATGCTCTGTTTTGAATCATTCAACTCACTCAATGTTGCATTGCAAGTACTTATCGCCATGAATAACAATATTCACACAGACCCCATGAATACTGGTTGCTGGTTTAGTGGAGAGACAGTGCACGTTTATGTCTAACATCCAATTGTTACATAACAGGTCATTTCACTGACGCTTTTATCCAAAGTGACTTACATTGCATTTTTAACCCACGCTTTTTTTTGCCCGGGGAGCAATTAGGGGTTAGGTGTCTCGCACAGGGAAACTTTGATGACTGAAACTAATGCAAATGCTAATTTGCGATCCTTGCTTAATAATAGACACATTTAATTTCATTCCAAAGCAACCCAGGCTGACTCCTACTTGTTCGGCTGACCTTTAGCCCCCCCCCCACTCCCGGTCGGCCGGACCCACCAGATCGCCATGACTTGGTCAGTTGAAAAGTAGTTTGCGAGCTGGAAAAACGTATTCCTGCTTTACATGCTTGGTATTGAATCCACAATAATCCATTATGTTTTATCTCATGAGGATTTAGCAATATCAATTTTTAAACTTTCTATTCTATTCTAAAACAAAATGAAAACTCTTAAGTCTCCGAAGTCCAAATTCATATGGGATTGCTATTCTTTCATTTACTATTATTGTTCTCAGCAACATATGGCTGACGTACAGGCTGGAGAATGTGATGAAGGAGTAGAGGTTAACACCACCCCCTCCACGCACACACACACATACACACAAACACATATCTACGCTCACAGACACAATGAGATATATGAATAGATGGGGTCATGGAGCAGCAGAGGCGAGTGCGACTGTGTGTGTGTGTGTTTGAGCAGTGTGAGGATCTGATTCACACAAAAATACCACAGGTGTGACACCAATTTGTGTGTGGTTGTCTACCGGCTGGACACGTGATTTAGTAATAATACTGTCCAGTAATAATGCATTTAGACACAATGCGAACCACATGTGTAACGGCCCGTTTGATTGGTTCTAAGTGTATTCTCCCATGGCTGTGTGTCCTCTCCGTGGATATAGTGAGTCATTAACCACAACACACACACACACACACACACACACACACACACACAGTTTTATTGAACAGTGTGGCTGCTAAGTGTATGGACTGAGGCAACAACTCAAAAAAATTGACTTTTTGGCTGTTGCCTAAAAATATAAAAAGACCTTTAAAATCAGATTCATTACAGAACATAGGGATAACGGTGTATATTAAAGAAAGGATATATATAAAAATATAATTAAAATAATCAAATGCATATAAAATAATGCAGGTTTTCAGTTTTTTAAATTGAAGGCTAGAAACCACTCTCATTCTCTCTACCTCCCTCCCTCCACCATCCTGCTGGTGTCCCATAACCAAAATGGACCACTCCACATCACTTGAAACATAATACCCCCACCGTCCCACCCCCATTCCTCTCCCTCTTCTCTCTTCGAGGGAATTCAAAACAATGAGATCCTTTATACTCTGTCTGTCTCTCCAGACACCAGCCGAACCCCCGGTTCCCCAAGTCAGTTCATACCTCCACCCCTTCCTTTACTTACTGCCTAAACAATAGCAGAGCCCCCATGCTTTTAGAAAACTTCTGGATAAACATGTACATCCACAAAAGCACATCAGCTCATGTACTGTGTCTTCAATGGCATGACTATCAGAGATTACAAACGTAACCCCTCCCCCTCTCCCGCTCCTGCACAAACACTAGCTGCCATCTCAAAAGGCTTGATTTGTAGGATTCAGTACATCATTCTTGTTTGACTCTGATTTGGCTTCATACAAACTTCACTCTGAAATCAGTCGGCGGTTCATTTAAGAGATTTTAACATCTGGTTTTACTGTATGAAAATAAGCAGTCCTGTCTCCTAGAAAAAAGACTTCCTGTACTACTGAACTGCACTGGAGTGATGTGTACTTCCCTGCTGATCTATCGACAACTCTCTTCACCATTCTTTGAGCCATCATCGTCTGGTGAAGCTGGTTTTAAAGTTGCTATACACTCATCTTTTAGTGTCCGTTTATTGATGTTGATTTTGCTTTTAGCTGAAATAGCTGCCGTCGTGCTCAAGACAGCAGGTTTGTATAGCTCTTTTTCTAGGCTAAGTGTGTATGTGTCACTTTGCGTAATAATGGCATGATTATTCTTTTATTTCATGCACAATGTAAAAATATATATTTAATTGAGAAGAATAATTTGATATACTTAAGTTAAAACAAACAGTGATTATGCAGCAGAACAGGGCCTTGGTAAGGCCAGTTTTTCATTTTTTACATTTTCACACGTGTAAGAGATTTATAAAACTGTGTTTTCAATGCAGAAATAACACATTTTACAGACATAAAGGGAGACACTGATACCACTGACGACCAGATGCTTTTTATGCAATTTCTGGCTAATTTGGGTCAGATTCTTGGGACAACTTTTCCCCGTTGTGCTAGGATCCTCATACATGTTACAGTTTGCAGCAAAAATGCTTTAATCGCAAAGAGAGAATCACAGTCTGTTCTCCATCTCGGCTTTATTTAGAAAAACAGAGTGTTGCATATGTAAGACTGTGATTGCCCTCAAACTGTGCTAAGAATTGACTCCAGACAGGCGACATAAACAACAAGGCTAAGGGGCACAGAGCATGTGTTCACAATGATTCTGGGAGAGCCGCCATGGTATGATTAGTTTCAGATTGCTCGGTCTCTCTCTGATCTTTCCATCTTTCTTCTTGAAAGCATTTCCAGCCACAGACTTGGATCCAGACCGCACATTTCTCTCTCACACACACACACACACACACACACACACACACACACACACACACACACAGAGTGAAAGAAAGAGTAGTGTAAGAGAGTAAGCTTTATAAAGTTTTTATGCCACTGCGAGCAGAAAAGAATTTTAAACCCAAGAGATTCACGTGCCTTAGATATGAAAACTTGCCCAAAAATGAAATAAAAAGCAGCATGGAGAAAAAAGTAAATTAAGCGGTGGGGCTGAAGCGGTAATGGCTGTGGCTCCTCTGACGTTCTCAAATTGAAGCCTCTCTTCTTCGGTTTTCAAAAAAACACCATCGGAGTGCCATAGGGTTTAGTGACTGCAACTAGTATAATATTGGTTTTGAATGATGTAAGGAACATTTCATTCTGGAGAGCACCAGCCAGCACTCGGCTCTGGAGACCCAATCTGAGACTAACGCTGGCAGTCTTCAGGCACAGACACATGGCATCGTATCCCACTGGTATTTGTCGATACGTAGAGCTAGTAGAAAGACAATCCTGCATAGGTTGACTGTGGATCCCTTAAGACAGCTCATCTTACTTCTCCTGATCCCTTACTGTCTAGGGCTAAGGGCAAATCTTTTTTTTATTAATGCGATATTTGTCATATTCAAACACATATGCAGGGGGTTGGATTCAATTCTAAATGAGTGACAGTTATTCCAGTTAGTTGGACAACCAGTGATATTTTTGAGTTTTATAATTTGTTTCTTATATGTAGTGTTGCTCCCTCCCCCCACTGCAGTACACTTTCTAAAACACTCAATTTAAGTACAGAGCATGTGCTGGTAAAAACACTGAAGCTAATTAGGGTAACTTCAGTAGCAGGACCACGCCTCCAACACGCCTCTTCTGGTATTTCCATAAACCCCCTCTTCTCATTCTCGAGTACGCATTCTAAAACCAGACCGAAGGCAGGTATCACCAGATTGGACAGTAAAACTACTTACAATCAGCTTACCTACCCAACTTTCAGCATGGATGCCATTGCGGTTTCCACCTCCGACGACTTCACATTCAGAGAGGACCAAAACAAACCACCCCGAAGTCCGGAGGATTAATCCAACGGCGTCTACACGAAACAGACACCGCCTGGGCTCACTGCACACAGCCGAATGCTCCGTAACCACGCTTCGGTGCCATCCCCGACAATCTCCAACTGGACAGTCATAACGTTACAAAAAGTATTAACCCTCTATGGTATGATGTTGACTCTAGGCAACATACCCGTTTTTGGCCTTCTACATTCGCACAATACATCCCCAGTTCTGATGCAATACTTTGAAAAAGAGCCAGGAGTTTGAATTTGTCGCATGACTCTCTGGATGAAAACCTTTTTTGCTGACTTCTAATAGCTTGATGTACTTTGTTTGCTAAATATGTAATGTAAACCTGTAAAAATGCAAATGTTGCCTTGAGGCAACACCGTACCATTATGGGATTCACCACGACATTGTGGTACATGTTGATGGCATGCCAGATTTTACTGGAAGTTCAGGCAAGGCCGAAAACCGGGAGATCCCTCAGTAGGCAAATCAAATCCAGAGGGCCAGTAGATAAAAACAGGCAGGGTCAGAACCAGGATGGCAACCAGAGAGGCACACAAATCCGAAATGGGACAGGCAGAGAATACGTGGTCAAAAGGCAGGTAAGATCAGCGCAGATGGACTAATTCAGAAACACTGGAAGACTGCTTACGCACAAAATAATCTGGCAGGGAGCAACAAAATGTAACAGGATTAAATGAAGCTTAGGCGAAAATTCAGTCAGGAAGACTGGACAGGCTGTGCCGTTCCCTGGTGGCCTCCTCTCTCCCTGGGGGCGCACGGCCAGCTGATTAGGGGCGGGGTCGAGTAGTATCAGGCGTGGGTGTCGTCACCGTAAACCAATCGCATTGGGGCAGGCAACGTTAAAAAACTGTTCTCCTCTCTCTTGCTGTCAGTTGTCATTTCAGCACGCTCCAAAGGTGAGGATTATTTTTCGCCTGGATTAGCAGCGATCGTCACGGCAAAGGAATGTCCGATTCGGACAGCGATTTATTCCGGAGACGCGAGTCTCAACAACCAGAGCCGGCCAGCAGCCCACCGAGCGGCCGGCGCAGGAGCACTCGTCTCACAAGGCGCAGCGGCTCCACTACGAACGAGCGAGAAGAAATTCTCACTCAACTACAGAACCGCGGCGTGACTGCCGCACCGGGGCTCCCTCTCTCACAGCTGCGGGACTTGGTGAAACACACAGCGGGAGGGGAGCGCAGCGATCCCTCCCCGCCTCCCGCGCCAGGACGGAAGCGGACCCGGAAGTCGGGACCAATACAGCCGCCGCAGGCGAGGCGGAGGAAAACTGCTACCCGGTCCAATTCTCCACCAGCGACGGCAGGCACGTCGGGCCCAGACGCCGTGGTAATCGCAACGCTACAAACATTGGTCAACACGATGGGCACCATAGAGGCGCGCCTGCAGCACCTAGGGGACAGGCAGCCCACTCCATCCACCTCATTCGGCGCAGGCATCCAGGATTCCAGAGGGCCCATGGCCGGCATGGTGGTTCAACCCTCTACATCGGCACAAGGGGAAGCGGCGCAGCATTCTTTGGCATCAGCGGTACCTGATCGCCCACAGGGTAGGACATATATTTCTCAGGTGTCGAATGTGTCAGCACGCCTGCGGGCAAAAATACTTCAAGGGGAAGACATCAATCTGGTCTCCATCATCCTTACATCCCCAGAGTGTGATGTTAGCATAGCATCAGGCGTTAATATTTCTGCAGTGTTCAAAACCGCAGACCCACGACTGAACAGAGAGTGATCGATAGGGCAATTCTTCGTTGCGTTTGGAGTATATCGAGACGTTATTTGTGCCGTATTTCCAGATAGAAGGCAGGAGTTAGACACCTACATGGCACTCATCGGTGATCTCTGCGTCAATTACGGGGGTCACGTGTTCTATCGGTACCACAAAGCCTTCGCTAGGAAAGCAGCATTATTCATTAGGCAATACAATATCCGGCTAGCTTGGTCCGTAATGGACCTGCTGATGGTTGCCGGGGGGGTGCAACCACTGGCATGCAGTATGTGCGGCCGTACGGGTCACCAAGCACCGTTTTGCCCGGCGGCAGCATTGCAGTCAACATCCCAGGGGCACGCCGCACAACCACCGCTGCGGCAACAGGTGAGCCGAGGGCACGAGGGCCCAAATTTAGATCATATTCCTGTATGCCTCAGTTAATGAGAGTGTCTGTTCATACAAAAACTGCCGTTATCTCCACATTTGCAGCCTGTGCAAGGAGGCGCATCCAAGGTCTGTATGCTCTCGGCGCGCGGGCAGGATCCCGCGGGGGGGGCCACGTGGTTCAAAAACATTTTGAGAATACACCCCTCAACACCTATCGACATTGCGGCACTAGCAACAGAGCTATCTTCGCACCCCGACCGGGGGTTCGTGAATCACTTGCTCACAGGCTTATCACAGGGGTTTCACGTAGGAGTCGTCGCGGAGCCCACCAGAACATACATTGCTAAGAATCTGCAATCCGCAAGGGAAGAGCCAGGGACTGTCGCCAACCTAATCAAAGAAGAGGTAAGGAGGAAGTACATCGTGGGCCCCTTCAAGGCAGCACCATATTCGGTATTTCGCACCAATTCAGTAGGCATTGCCACGGGCAAATACTCTGGGAAGAAAATTCTTGATCTGTCTGCCCCACATGCGAGAGCCGTTCCGAGCATCAACAGCCTTATCCCCCCAGAGCTATTTTCCCTCCACTACATTTCAGTCGACAATGCCATGAGCTTGATTAAAAGGGCCGGCCAAGGCGCATGGCTTTCTAAAGTGGACGTAAAAGACGCATTCAAAATAGTACCCATACACCCGGCTCAATGGCATCTCTTCGGGATCCGGTGGAAGGCGAAGTTCTACTTCGCCGTGCGGCTGACTTTTGGGTGCAGGAGCAGCCCGTGCATCTTTAACAAAGTGTCCGAAGCACTCTGTTGGATCCTGCTGAATAGGGCCAAAATCCCGTCAGTACTCCACCTGCTGGACAACTTCCTGGTGATAGATTCCCCGCGGGACGGGTCAGGTTGCTCGCTACGGCGAGTGGAACAGTGCTTTCGTTCACTGGGCGTCCCATTATCAGAGGGGAAAACAATGGGGCCAGCGACACGGCTAGAATTCTTAGGCATCACACTGGACACAACCGACATGAAGGCATCTCTTCCCATGGCAAAGTTGCAGCGCATCCGTGAGTTCACCAAGCTATGCCGTGACACGGGAACCTTTAGCAAGCAGCAGCTACTCTCCCTTCTAGGCCATCTCAACTTTGCCATGAGAGTAATTCCGCAAGGACGCTCATTTATTTCTCGGCTGCTGGACTTAGCGTCCTCGGTGCCCTGGTTGCACGAGCCCGGTAACACTAGATCACACTAGATCTGGTCTCGCCTGCTCGATCACTGGAACGGCGTAACATTCTTTTACAATGAGATCGTGGAGTCTGCAGATTCACTGCAATTATTCACAGATGCGGCGCATTCTGTGGGTTTTGGGGGGTTCTATCAAGGCCAGTGGTTCGCCAGCCACTGGCCAACCGCTTTTTGCAGGTTTGAAACATTGATAGCGCTGTACGAGATCTACCCAGTGTCGGTGGCCTGTTTCATCTGGGGACGACACTGGACCCGCAAGCGCATCTCCATCATGTGTGACAACCAGGCAGTGGTGGACATTGTCAACAAAGGCCGCTCCTCGGCCCGAGACATCATGCCATTCATGCGAGGCATCACGTGGTCCGCCGTCACCAACAACTTCATCATCACTGCCCGGCATGTGCCCGGACGGCATAACAAACTGGCTGACTCACTTTCCCGTTTTGATTTTCAGACTTTCCAGAGGCTCTGCCCCGAGGCCCACGAAGCACCTGTTACAGTCCCTCCGTGTCGCACCCTGATGCTCTCATAGGACAAGGTCAGATAGAGCACTACATGGTGGCAGCCAGGTATTACATGCGGAAAGGCCTAGCTAGGTCTACCATAAAAGTGTACGACTTCGCTTGGCGTACATTTGCCTTGTTCTGTCTGTCTGTCAGCATGCCGGTGCAACCTGTTGCTATGAAAACGGTGTGCGCGTTCATCTGCAATTGTACCGACGTGCGGCATTTCAAACCTCCGTACATTCGTAGTCTGCTTGCCGGCATTCAGTTCCACATTAGATGTTCAGATCCCGAGTTCCCAAGCCTGTTCTCTCACATTAGTGTCAAGCTACTGCTCAAAGGCATTACACAAGAGTTACCTCAAATCCCCAACTCCCGGCGTCCCATCACCCTGCCGATCCTGCAGCAGATGGTGGACACACTCCGGGGAGGGGTGTTTTCACCCTATAGCGACACCTTATTAGAGGCAGTTTTTTTGCTGGCATTTTATGCCTTCCTCAGATGCGGCGAATTTACCACCTCCACTAACTCCTTTAGCCCGGATACAGATCTCACAGCAGGAGATTTGACCTTCTATCCTACCCATTACCAACTGCGGCTTAGACACTCCAAACGAGGCGGCGCTTGCTCCGTGATCGTGGCAAGAACGGAGTCCGACTTGTGCCCTTTCAGAGCTATGCTGGGGTATCTCCGGGTGAAACCTACCGCTGGGCCCACGACACCTCTATTTCTCACTCCCGGCAATGCGCCTCTATCTCGCACCTGGTTCCGCCATCATCTGAACATCGTACTCACTAGAAGCCACCTATCGCCGCATCACTACTCTGGGCACTCGTTTAGAATAGGGGCTGCCACGTCAGCCTCCAACCAAGGCATCCCCGGGACTACGCTACAGCAGATGGGGCGGTGGTCCTCCTCCGCGGTGACATCATACATTCGCCCTGACCTTACCATGATACTGGCAAAGCAACGAGCTTTAAGGACTTAAGTCCGGTAAGCATGCATATAACTGGTGGTGGTGGTGTCTTACAGCGCGGCTTGTCTGGGAATTTCTTCCTCTTCCCCTTGCCACAGACGTAGCATGTCCTAGGTGAACGTGACCTGTCTTAACGTGTCTGTGTTTCCTAGGTTTGACGTTACCTGGCTTAACGTGTCTGTTTCCTGGTCTAACGGGACCACATCCCTTACCCAAAAGATGTCCCGATGGACCAGTCAAGCTGACAACACTCTGTTTCGCGGTCTTACGGGACCAGTCAAGCTGACTACCTTTCTGCTTCGCGGTCTCACGGGGCCAGTCAAGCTGACTACCTTTCCATTTCGCGGTCCCGCGACCGGTCACCCTAGTTAGTGCTAGTGCCGGCCTGAGCCGACCCGTCAAGCGACGGTGTTCCGTTCAGCACGGCTAAATCCAACCAGTCAGGGACATCCAAGTGACCATCTGTTTCCCGGTCTGAGCGAACCCGGTCAGGTTGTTCTGTGAGGGGCCCTCCGCAACAAAGTCTATTCTGCGGTCCCTCTCTGACCCCAACTGTCCTGTTCTGCGGTCCGCCGTGATCACCCCTATCTGGTCTGCGGACTTACACGACCACCCCTATCTGGTCTGCGGACTTACACAACCACAACCTGTCCTTGTCTGCGGTCAACCTCGACCCCCAACTTATCCTGTCCTTTGGTCTGGCAGACCCTCTCTTTTACTTTGGGATCTTCTGAAGCCCACCATGCCTTACTGTGGTCCAGCTAGACCCTCGCTATGTGCTGCGGCTTCCCTGGCCCCCGTGTCCTTGTCTGTGGTTCAACTAGCCCTTCCTCTCTCTCATTGTCCGGTTAACCTCTGCCTGGTTTCTCGGCTCCATGTGACTTACTATATGTCCCCTTGTGACACCAGCTCCGGATCAGGACCCGCAGTGGCCGTAAGTATTTATTTTATTCCATCAAATAAACCGGGTTTTGGGGATATATGCCTCGTCTCGGCTCGAGATCCCGGCCCCGGGTCTGTCCTGCGGCAGGATGGAGTCCAAGCCCCAAACAACTTGCAATATCATATTATACCTGTTATAGTAAAGCATTGTTCAAATTTCAACAAGTCTCTCCGGATTGAAATAGTGATTGGCTGACCAGGGGATGTCCTGCAGGTGAGGGTAATGAGCTGATGTGGGAGGATCAGAAATGACAGGAGAGTTGGTAAACATGCAGGCTGGAAAAACAAACTATGATGCGGTCAAATGTGTGACAATAAGTGTCGTGCAGACAGGAGTATGGGAAGAATGGATCTTCTGGACTCACTGATTGCTCTCTACAGAACAGATCAGGTCAAGGAAGTGGTATCACAAGATTGTGTTCCACATGATGGATTTCATTCTTGTGAATGCGTGGTAGGGACTACACCCAAATCGTCATGGAAAAAGGCAAAGGACCCACCTCACCACGAGTTACTTTCCCATTCAGCCTTAGCAGGAGGACCTATCCGTGGCCACCTATGCCATTTGGCACGGGGATGCTGGCATACACCCATAATCCTCCTCGGGACCCATGGCACAGAGATGCCAGCACTCCCCCACCACCCTGGCCCTGCCACCACAACCAGTCACACCATTCGTGGCCACCCACGCTAGCTGGAGCAAACGGCACCGGGATGCCAGCTCACAACTGTTATCCTCAGCACTTACAGCATCAGACCTTCACCCTAGCAACCGCTGCCCTCCCTGTTCGCCACATCAACACGCATAGCTCTGTCCTTCTCCAGTTCCCACCAACCTACGCAAACAGATTGGCAAGATCGATATAATTAGCGTTGATATTCTCTTTTTGCCTTCACCAACCACCGGCTAACATATCACCAGAAAACCACCTGTAGCGGGTACAAATATGTACTACGGCTTTAAGACTCACGTGAACGCGGGAGAGAGAGAGAGAGAGAGAGAGAGAGAGAGAGAGAGAGAGAAAATGGGGTTACGAGCGGCGAAAAGGAGAGCGGTAGAAGTTTTTGGGCTCCACGGGCGCGTCAAGTCTTCGAGTCGACACGTTCCGAACCAGTAACACGGTTTTCGTTTTAATTGATGGTGCGAGCGCCGAAGTCGGGCTGCATTAGATTAAAGTGACACGTTTAAACCAGTAACGCGGTTACGTCTGGGTTTACGTTTCCTCGGATAGTGCGAGCGCCGAAGTCGTGCGGCGTTAGAGTAAATTTAAAGTTAACTGTTGCATTTAGTTAGGGCTAGATGGCGGTGCACCGATGATGACTGGAGGAGTGGGAAAGGGGGCGATTGACGTCAAGTCAACCCGTTTCATTGGAGTTTACCCTGCCAGCCATCGGACATCCCACGACGTGTGACCTCTGCGGTTGTATGGGTAATCACTGCACCACATTTCAACACACTGATCCATGAACCAGCAGGTGAACGTTGCTTCACCAGGTTCCATGAGAACTTGTTTGATGGTGAAGTGAAACAGAGGTATTGAGTAGCCATTCACAAGGTTTCTAGGTGACTGTATTAATTTTGATAATTTGATAATGTTTTCCTTGTGCTCTGTGTTTATCCTTGAGTAAACAATAGAGGGAATAACAGCTGTATGTGTTTATATAACTTTGTCTAGTATATTGGGCTGCTTATCTGGGGTAGGGGCGCCTCACCTGTTTAGCTAGACCTAGGTAGAGTGGTGGGGGGTTACCTCACGCACCCCACACACACTTCAGACGACCACCTACTGAAGCCCACTTTGCCCCGTCTAAGAAGCTATCGTCCAGTATAGCTGCTAAATAGTAAACAACCTGTTCACTCACCTGAGCATCGAGGCCACAGGCATTGAGTGTGGGGGACCCAGATCCTGTCCCACTCAGTCCTCCCCAGAGTAAGTGCTTTATAACCCCTATAAGGCGGCGGTAATAATCCCGACCGTTACACACCCATGAGAAAAAAAAACACCCATTCCAAAAATCTTACATCCAACAAATTTGCTTATGCTTTCTCTTTTCAGAAAGGTGATTTCTTCCCGATATCCCAGCACTCCAACAGGAACTTGTCAACTACTTGACAATCATTCTCAACCCCCCAACTAGCCCTCCGTTTCGGAGGCAAATGGTTACTAACAGTGTCCACTTTGCCTAAAAACAATGTGACCTACATCCATTCACAATCGACACCTAGACTTCGCCCTACGTATCGTCACTCAAGAAAGATCATTCATCTTTCACCTCTAAGCATTAGCCGCATCCGTCCCATCCCTCTTAGATTTCATCCCCCTGGATAGTTGCGCCAAACTCCGTCTCTGTCAGAATCTGCTCTCCAATTGGAACGGGATCACCTTTTTCTATGACGACACAATCTACATTTGTATACGGATGCTGCTCCTTCTCTTGGTTTTGGGGGCTTCTACAATGGAAAATGGTTTGCAGAAAAATGGCCTCCCGAGCTCACAAGAGACTGCCTAACAACCTCCTCCGCACTCCATAAATTTACCCCATAATAGCCGCAGCCATTTTGTGGGGACACGAGTCCCGCAAGTCCACCCTCATCCACTCAGACAACCTCCCCGTAGTTGACATAAATCAACAAAGGACGGTCCAACGCACCATCAATCATGTTGTTTATTCGCCGACTAACCTGGCATTCATTCACACACAATTACCTTCTCCATGCTGCTTATATCCCCGGGCATCGCAACACTATCGCTGACTCCCTTTCTTGTTTCTTATTTCAGAAGTTCAGAAGCTTGGCCCCTTATGCAGACACCCATTTGACACCAGTTCCTCCATATTCGGCACTGACGTTCAAACCCTGCCTTTCTACCACTGATAGGTTGTGAGTATGGAGTCGAGTATGGAGTTTTGCAAGCTATCTATCAGCATCCACCCTCTCGTCTTACTGGACAGCTTCGAAGGGCTTCGACAACTTCCACAACAGATAACAATTAACCTTCCTGTCATTTGACCTGGTGTCCATGACATGCTTTGTCGCCTTTGCCCATTCAAAGATGGCCATCAAAACGGCTATCAAAACCTCGTAAACATTCTTCGTTTTAATAATGGCGGTATTGTGCTATG